TAATTCTGATCAATCCCATCTCCAGGGAGGACAATCTCTCATGACATCTATCCCCCACCCCCACTCCACTCAACCCCCAACCTCTGGGATCTGCCCACACATGCCCAGATCTTCAGGGGACAATACTGTTTTGCCATATCCTATGGCACAAAAAACAAAGGATATTCCCCTGCCCTTCTGGACCATTAACCTGAGGTAGGGATGCTGGGTTTAGTTCTTCTGAAAAGGGTGAGGGTGTTTTAAAGAGACAGAAAATATTTTTACCCTTTTGTAGCCTGTTCCCTCTGTATATATGGAGCCACTGGATACTTGAATGAATCAATGTTTTGTTGAGAAGGAACAGGAAAAGGGACCAAAATCTCCATGGCAAATCCCAAAGTTACTCTACAAAAAAGACAAAGTATATAAAACTTCTGACCCATCCTTCTAGCATTGGCAGAATGAATTATATACTACACAATCAAAATTAGAAAGAGGCAGAGCAGAGGGTCAAAAACAATGAAACTATTCCTTGGCAATAAGTAGCTAACAGCAAGAATGTTGGCCAAATATTTTAGGAGAAATTTAATAAAGACTTATTTAAAATATTAAGCTTAAAAACTGACACAAAGACTAAGATTATTCTGCAATCAGTGTTACAGTGAAGTAGCAATCTGGCAAGAAGTAACAAGGAGCAAGAATGTTTCAGGACACAGAAGATGAGCAAAACAAATGACAAAAGAGTAGAAACTGGGCGGCACCTGTGGCTCAAAGGAGTAGGGCGCCAGCCCCATATGCTGGAGGTGGCAGGTTCAGGGGTTCAAATCCAGCCCTGGCCAAAAATTGCAAAAAGGAAAGAAAGAAAGAAAAGAAATCCACAGCAGACATATGGCCTAAGGGTTTTCATCAGTTCCACAGAGAGAAAGAATTAGAAATTAGTATCAAAATTTTCTCTATATATTATTGAGAGTTAATTGTATGTGGTTGTGCTTAACTCAATTACAGTAATTTGTATATAATTACTATTATTTTATGGGTTTGGGTCAAGTGTAATAATTCTTTCAGATATGGTTAACTTATATTGAAATATTGGGAGCACTTGGGAGGTTGAAGCAGGTGGATTGTCTGAGCTCACAGGTCCAAGGTTAGCCTGAGCAAGAGCAAGACCCCATCTCTAAAGAATAGCAGGGTGGGGCGGTACCTGTGACTCAAAGGAGCAGGGTGCCAGTCCCATATGCTGGAGATGGCAGGTTCAAACCCAGCCCCGGCCAAAAACTGCAAAAAAAAAAAAAAAAAAAATAGCAGGATGTTGTGGTAGGAGCCTCTAATTCCAGATACTTGGGTGGCTGAGACAAGAGAATAGCTTGAGCTCAAGAGTTTGAGGTTGCTGTGAGCTAAGATGCCACAGCACTCTACCAAGGTGACCAAGTGAAACTCTTGTCTCTAAAAAATAAAGTAAAATTTTTAAAAAGGCATAAAAATCAAATTATGTATAACCATGCATTCATGAATTTCCTTAATGAAAAAATAAAATTATAAAAAACTGAAACTACTTTTGAAAACACAAGATATAGAGAAACCTGCCCTACCTTAAGTAGTAGGCAAAAGCATGCTGTGAAATCTTATTTAAGAAACTTTAAGTCGGCTCGGTGCCTGTGGCTCAAGTGGCTAAGGCGCCAGCCACATACACCCAAGGTGGCGGGTTCGAATCCAGCCTGGGCCCTCCAAACAACAATGACAGCTGCAACCAAAAAATAGCCGGGCGTTGTGGCAGGCGCCTGTGGTCCCAGCTACTTGGGAGGCTGAGGCAGGAGACTCGCTTGAGCCCAGGAGTTGGAGGTTGCTGTGAGCTGTGATGTCACAGCACTCTACCCAGGGGGACAGCTTGAGGCTCCTGTCTCAAAAAAAAAAAAAAAAAGGATCTTTAAGTCTTAGTCTTCTCAGACTACTATTATAAATTGTCATAAATTGGGTGGCTTAAACAACAGCAATTTATTTCTCACAGTTCTGGAGGCTAGGTAGTCTAAGATCAAGGTGCCAGGAGATCTAGGGGCTAGTGACAACCAGCTTCCTGGGTTGTAGATGGCTGCCTTTTGCTGTGTACTCACATGTGTCTTTTCTTCTTTGCATATTCATGGAAAGAGAGATCGCTCTCTTTCTCTCTCTCTCTCTCTCTCTCTCTCTCCATATATATATATATATATATTTTCTTTTTTTTTTTTAATTGTAGTTTGGCCAGGGCTGGGTTTAAACTCGGCACCCTCGGTGTATGGGGCCAGCACCCTACTCACTGAGCCACAGGCACCTCCCCCTCCTCTTCTTATAAAAACACTAATTCCATCATGAGAATCCTTCATGACCTCCTCTAGACTTAATTACTTCCCAAAGACCACATCCAAATAACCATCCTCCTGGGAGATATATATGAACTTCAGTATATGAACTGGGGGGTAACAGTGACACAAACTTCAACCTACAACAGAAATAAACAAATCTTGACTAGGCTATTTCACTGAGAGTGCTGACTGACCTCTTCCTGATGATATAGACTGGGTGTAAGTAAGTAAAGGTGTGGGAGGTTGAGAGGGAACCTAGATGATAGCTTTGACTTCTGGCTTCTGCCTGGACTCCCCTCCAATAGAAGATTAAGGGTATCCAGTGATCCAGCAGCCCATTACTCTGCCCTTGTTTCCCCCTCTCACCTTATCCCCCTGGATAATGGTGACTGATAGAGATACAAGGGTCAGGTGAAAGAGGAATCTGTCTAGCCCGGCAGACATTTTTAAGGAGTGACCAACGCCACCAGAGATCATCAATTTCTCTACAAAATATACTTTGTGGATATACTACATGTTTTGAGATAGCCTACAAAGTTATCTTTGTGGGGGAAATTGGCATCTGTAAAGAAAATCAGGCTTTCTCTGAGGCCCTCCTTTACCCAGACAAGGAAGGACCAACTGAGAGTCTGACACCTTAAAAAGTGTGACAGAGGCCAAGGGAGGGCATGATTGCTGGAGCCTGTAATCCTAGCACTCTGGGAGGCTGAGAAAGGAGGATCACTTGGACTCAGAAATTTGAGACCAGCCTGAGCAAGAGCGAGACCCCATCTCTACTCAAAATAGAAAAATTATCCCAGTGTTGTGGCCCATGCCCATAGTTCCAGCTACTCAGTAGGCTGAGGCAAGAGGATTGCTCAAGGCCAAGAGATTAAGGTTACTGTGAGCTATGATGTCACAGCACTCTACCCAGAGCAAGATAGTGTGATTCTCTCTCAAAAAAGAAAAAAAGAAAGAAAAGGTCTGACAGAAACATTTACTTTCAACTCTTTGCAAGGGACCAGGAGGTTCTTCTGCATAACAAGATCATCTTTGCTAGCCAGGCCTTTCCTTTTTTCTCCCTCCTATAATCCATTTTGCCAATATCGAAGTCCCCCCAACCTCAAGGGGATACACAAGTGGCAACCATCCACTAGCAGTTCTCAACCTGTGGGTCGCGACCCCTTTGTAACAGTGAAAATACATCGCGGCATTAGGAAGGTTGAGAACCACTGGAACCATTCCTTTGAGTTTTCATACTTTGTAAGACTTCCAGGCACACATGTGCATATAATAAAATTTCTATGCTTTTTTTCGATGTATAATCAGGATTTTTTAATACAGTCAAATGACTGAACACTCAAGGGAAAAATTTAAACTTTCCTACACTTCCCACTGTCCCTGTCTCCCACACTATGAACATTACTATTCCTTAAACCACCTTCTTCCCTCCTTTCTCGGTGCTGGTGAGAATGTAGAAAGTTAATATTACTTGCTTTAAAAAGAAAAAAAGTCTGGGAATTATGTATAGATTTGAGTTGGGACCGCCATTTATTTACAAAAATATCCCGGAGCTGTTCCTTGGCTTCAGGACGCTCATGCATCCTATTGAAACCAAAGAACAGAAAATATCCTGGAACAGATTAATTTGGAGTATGATCTCAAGGGGAAACCCTTAAAGGGTGGCGGACACCGTTAGTCACGTGAGTCTTCTTTTTCCTTCACTTTCTTCTTTCAGCTTCCCTAACTGCCATTCACTGGGCAAAACAAATAAAACCTTAAGAAACAGCTTCTATTCACAAGCAATAAGACTCTTATCCCCCCCCCCTTTGTCATGCGCATGTATTTTTGAATGTGTTACTGGGTATGGATCTCAAGTGCATCCAGTTCCTTGCCTCCTGATCACACCATGGCCTGACCACCAGGAAGCTGAACAGTTAAAAGAGTTTTCTAGGGTAGTCTGGAGCCTGTGGGTGACGGGGATTACTGTGCCCTGCGTTGAGAGAGAGAAGGGGAGAGGCGCCGACCCACTGCCTCTCCCAGCCAAGCCTGGTCGGCAGCACCCACCGTTCCGAGGTATTCGGGCACCTTCACATCCCGCCCTGCCCAGCGCAGGCGGGACGTGATGCAGCACGGTGTGTGATGCGCCAGCCGGCCGCCAGAGGGCGCGAGAACCTCCAGCCCTAGTGCGATGGCGTCCCCCGGACCGGGAAGGGAAGGTGGTCGGGCTGCGAGGAAGGGCGGATGGGGCCTGGGAACCCGCAATGAGAGCCGGGCCCCGCCTTATCCCGGAGCTGCCAGCTTCCGCGTAGGGTCCACCCGGCCCTCCATTCCCACCAGCCCGAAGGCTCCACCCCGATCTGCGCTATCCGAGTGACCTCGGCGCCGGGGCCGGGAGCCCGGGCGCCCACCTTGCGGCCCCACTCCCGCCTCCGGCTCGAAGCCGGGGGAGGAGGCGGCGGCCGGATCTTCAGAGAGTAACGACTGGAGGGCTGAGGCCCCAGGTCAGCCAGATCGGCCGCCGCGGGACAATGGCCGGAGGGGCTGCGGGCTCGAGAGCCGAAAAACACGGGTGCCGGGGCGCTGGAAGCCCCGCCCCGCGGCCGGCACCCTGACAACGCGGGCGGGCTGGGCCGCGCCGCCAGCTCCCCGCCCCTGGGCGGCCGCACCGGGCGGGGCCGTGGCCAGAGCACCGCCGTCGCTGCTGCTGCAGCGGCTCTGCGGATCGGGGGCCGGGGCCGGGGCCCGGGCGCCCACCCTCCCAGCTTCTCCCGCCATGAGCCAGGGGAGTCCGGGGGACTGGGCCCCCCTCGACCCCACCCCCGGTCCCCCAGCACCCCCGAACCCTTTCGTGCATGAGTTACATCTCTCCCGCCTCCAGAGGGTTAAGGTAAGGGGTGGGCAGTGAGCGTCGGGAGGACGCGTGGGGGGTTGAAAATTGGGCCTTTTATAGCCCTGGCATAGGGATCCATAGGAAGGACTTGGCTGAGAGGCTTGCGGAGCAGGAGTGCGGGGATGCGCACGTGGGGGCGGCCGGGGGCGGGCTAGGAGTCCTGAAGAGGACTCGGGCTTGAACAGTAGACAAGCTCGAAGATGTGGAAGAACTGAGTAGGTGGGGATGGAGGACTGCAAGAGACCAAGGGGCAGGAGAGATGGAGGGCCTCGGGCAATGCGGATTACATTCTGCGGAGGCTGATGCTAGGATGGAGTTGGCTACAGGAAGGCGGGATGGGGGCAGGGACGTGCTGAGTGCTTCTGGGGGCGGGTGGGGGGGAGCTCTGACTTAGAGGGAAGACTTTTATGGGCCTGAAGCGTGCGTCCCTGTGCCCTTCCAACACCCCTTCTTCCTATTCCCCCCACCCCGCACTGCAGCACCTCTGGGAGGGGGCAGGGAGGATAGAAAGGGGGTTGGCTACAGGAAGTGAGGGCCTAGGGGAACTGGGGGGTGGTGTGGAGAGGGAGTGTCCAAGGTTTCTGCTGTCATCCACTCCTCTGAGACGGGCTCCAGGGGCTAGGTTTGTTTACCTGCTCCCTCCCCAAGGCAGCTTATGGAGTCACCCTGGCTCCTGGCAACCCCTACCCACGGAGTAGGGCTGAGCGCTTCTCTTCCCCATCCCCCAGTACTGTGGGATTCCTGTTGGGCAGAAAGCTGACCCTGGGCCTGAAAAGTGGACCTCTCAGTGTTTCCAACCTCTGCCTCCATGGCCCAAAGTAGAAAGAACTGTACACCTGGTTTTCTGTTGTACATAGAGCTATTTATGGAATAGGATGTGGGGGAGGCGGACCTATCTCTAGCCTACTCCGTATCAAGTGCATTGCCGAGCACTTTCACACTGGTTATCTCATTAAATCCTCTAAGTGCTAGATGTGTTTTATGGCATTAAGTTTTATAGATGGGGTGGGGACCAACTGAGAGACAGAAAATGAGGCCCTTGATTCTTTTATTCTCTTGCCCTCCTTGGTATCATCACCCCACCTTGGGTCCCAGTCTCCTCTCTTGTTCCCACATCACCTATCACCTGCAAAGAATGATGGTCTTCTGCTCCTGGGTCCATCATTGTAGGAGGTGCTGTGGAAGGAGCATCTCCCAGCCCTGAAGTGGCATTTTCTCCCGCCTTCTGCAGTTCTGCCTCCTAGGGGCATTGCTGGCCCCCATCCGAGTGCTTTTGGCCTTTATCGTCCTCTTTCTCCTCTGGCCCTTTGCCTGGCTGCAAGTGGCTGGTCTTACTGAGGAGCAGCTTCAGGAGCCAATTACAGGATGGAGGAAGTAAGTGGGAGATGAGCCCCCAGAGACCCTACTTCTATTCCCTACTGTATATTCTGCTCCCCTTTTGAGAAGAAGAGGAGGGAGGGTTTTACCCAAACCAACCAGAGTAGGTGGGATGAGTCAGCCAGATTCAGATCTGGTACCCAGGCTCTCAACTTCATCTAATGTGCCCTGATAAGTCCCAAAGTGGCCAGAGACTTCAGCCCTTGGCCAAGTCCTATTTGAGGGTAAAAGAGGGGTGTCCTACTTTCCTGGTGCCTAAATCTAGGGGGTGAGCAAGGGTCAGAACTGCTGCCTCCACTGATACTCAGCTTTGCCCTGCCAGGACTGTGTGCCACAATGGGGTGCTGGGCCTGAGCCGCCTGCTCTTTTTCCTGCTGGGCTTCCTCCGGATTCGCGTTCGCGGCCAGCGGGCCTCTCGCCTTCAAGCCCCTGTCCTTGTTGCTGCCCCCCACTCCACTTTCTTTGACCCCATTGTTCTGCTGCCCTGTGACCTGCCCAAGGTTGTGTCTCGAGCTGAGAACCTTTCTGTGCCTGTCATTGGAGGTGAGAGAGTTCAACAGGGGTAAAGGGGAAGGATGACAACTCTTGGCCAAAAAAGTCAGGAATTGGAGACACTGGAGAGAAGAACGGGCCTCAGGTGGGGGCGGGGGAGAAGTTAAAAGGGATTGGCAAGTGAAATATCAGTTAATACTATTGTCAACCCAATTTCTGAGATTCTGAGGGCTGGGGTGTAGAGAAGGTGTTGGAGGGAGCTCTGATCAGTTTTCTAAAAGGACTACACTCGACAAAGGAATTGTTCCCAGGACAAAGATAACTGAAGGCTAGGCACGGTGGCTCATGCCTGTAATCCTAGCACTTTGGGAGGCCAAGGTAGGTGGATCACTTGAGCTCACAAGTTCAAGACCAGCCTGAGCAAAAGTGAGAACCCTGTCTCTACTTAAAAAAATGAAAAACTGAGGCAAGAGGATCGCTTGAGCCCAAGAGTTTGAGGTTGCTGCAAGCTATGATGCCACAGTGCTCTACCAAGGGCCAACAAAAGTGAGACTGTCTCAAAACAAAACAAAAAAAGAGATAACTGAGAATTATCTCATACTGTTGGGAAATGGAGGCTGCAGATGTTTATGCCCCTGGGTGGAAACCAAATGACTCCTCCTTTTATCCTTCCCACCCCCAGCTCTTCTTCGATTCAACCAAGCCATCCTAGTATCCCGGCATGACCCAGCGTCTCGGCGCAGAGTGGTGGAGGAGGTCCGAAGGCGGGCCACCTCAAGAGGCAAGTGGCCCCAGGTGGGTAAGGGCTTTGAGACCTTCTCCTCACCTTTTATGTCCTCCTAAAGAGGCTTTCCATTCCGCTCTCCTTTCCTTCAGCCTTCTCCACCTTTTTCTGCTCTTTTCTTTTATTCCCCCCAGGTACTGTTCTTTCCTGAGGGCACCTGTTCCAACAAGAAGGCTTTGCTTAAGTTCAAACCAGGTGAATAAAGGGATAGTGGGTGGTAGGGTGTGGGAAAAAGCGGTGGCAGGTTCAGGGCAGGGACTCCGAAATAACCCAATAAGTGGAAGAGTGGGGAGGGATGGGGAACTTCCTAGCTGAGGCTGACAAGTCAAGGAGCCAGAGGGAAAATGATCACTGAATGGAGCAAGACCCCATCTCATCTGAAAACTGGCCAGACCCCCATATTCATGCCTTCCAGCTACCTCCATGTACTAACCTCTGCCTGGGGGTGGGGGTGGAAATGGGATTTAGGAGCCTTCATCGCAGGGGTGCCTGTGCAGCCTGTCCTCATCCGCTACCCCAACAGTCTGGTGAGTCTTGATCCAAAAAGGGGGGGAGGGGAAAGCATGAATCCACCCTAAATGGAAATAAGTGAAAACTGTGGGTGTTATAATGGGATGTGCATCTGGGAGCGGGGTCAGGGCCTCTCCTCAAAGATAACTGGCCAGTTCCAAAGACTGGAAATAAAAGTATGCTCTTCTACCCTCTCCTCTGTTTCTCTCATAGGACACCACTAGCTGGGCGTGGAGGGGCCCTGGAGTGTGAGTTCTGGTATTCCCGGGGTGAGGGTGGAATGCAGGTCCCTTAGGCAATTCCTGGCCCATCCTTCAATCTCCAGAATTGAAAAGGTGAATGGGCCTTTTTCATCCCAAGACTGAGAGAACTCTAGAGAAGGAAAAGCCCCTTTCCCTCTGCTCTCTCCATATAACAGGGTGGTGCTTTCAGTCCTTTCACCTAAGTCATTCCTGCTGGGATTATGGCTCGTCTGCACTTTCCTATGTCTCTGTGATTCTTCCTTTCTTGTCCCTTTTTAAGATCCATCAGACATGCCTCTTCCCTTTTCCTTCTGTTACTCAGACCTCTAGTCGCTTTCAGTTTTTCCTCTGACATGTCTCTGCAGCTCTGCTCTCTTTCTCAGCCACCTTTCTGGCCCTTCCCTCAAGTCTCCCAGCTGACTCTACGACTAGAAGTCCATTTGTGTATCAACAGGCAGGACTTTTCCTCTCCCCACCTCAGGGCGGGAGAAGCCCCTAGTTAGAGATTGGTGAGCACCAATATTTCTCTTCTCCTAGACTCAAAGTCCTCTGGCTCACAGCTTCTCAGCCCTGCAGCGTTGTGGATGTGGAGGTAGGACCCCCCATGAATGGGATGGGAAAATGAACATCTCGGACCCCGAAAGCCTTGGAGAAGGAAGATGGAATGGGTCACTCCTTACTTTGAAGTCCTGACAAGAACTGTATCTGTTTCAGTTCCTCCCTGTGTATCACCCCAGCACTGAGGAGAGCAGGGACCCCACCCTCTATGCTAACAATGTCCAGAGAGTCATGGCACAGTGAGTTTCCCACAAAGTATTTCCTGGAGCAGATACAGGGCAAGGAAACCACAAGGTGGGGGGGAGGAAAGGGCAAGGTTTTAAGGCAAAGATAGGGAAGCTGGCAGTGGAAAGCTGTGAACATGGACAGCTGTGACTGTGGAGAGAAAGTTAAAGGGGCCTGAGGGACTCTCCCTACTCAGTCAACCAGAGTCAGTAATGAACCCTCAGAAGTTTCTTCTGTTTCTTGCCCCCTCTATTCCATCCCTCTTCCTTCTGTAGGGCCCTGGGCATTCCAGCCACTGAATGTGAATTTGTAGGGAGTTTGCCTGTGATTGTGGTGGGCCGGCTGAAGGTGGCATTGGAGCCACAGCTCTGGGAACTGGGAAAGGTGCTTCGTAAGGCTGGGTAAGTGGCTTTGACAATGAGGGTACGAGCACTGTCACAGAGTGAGAAAGCACAAGAAGAAAGGGAAAAAATGGGAAAGAGCAAGGGAAATCTTTAAAAAGAAAAAATAGGAACTTTAAGAAAAGTTGGGCTTGGCGCCTGTAGTTCAAGCAGCTAAGGCACCAGCCACATACACTAGAGCTGGCGGGTTCAAATCCAACCTAGGCCTGCCAAACAACAATGAAAACTACAATCAAAAAATCACCGGGTATTGTGGTATATGCTTGTAGTCCCAGCTACTTGGGAGGCTGAGGCAAGAGAATCGCTTAAATCCAGGAGTTGGAGGTTACTGTGAGCTGTGATGCTATGACACTCTACCCAGGGTGACAGCTTGAGGCTCTGTCTCAAAAAAAAGAAAAGTTAATGGAGTGGCTCGGCAACCATTGCTCAGTGCTTAGGGAGCCGACCACATACAGAAGCAGGCAGGTTCGAACCCAGCCCAGGCCTGCTAAACAACAATGACAATTGTAACAACAACAAAAAAAATAGGTGGGCCTTGTGCTGGGCACCTGTAGTCCCAGCTACTTGGGAGACTGGGTCAAAAGAATTGCTTAAACCCAAGAGCTTGAGGTTGCTGTGAGCTGTGACGCCACGGCACTCTACTGAGGGCAACAAAATGAGACTGTCTCGGAAAAAAAGAAAAGTTAATGGAGTAAATAAGAGGAAGGGGGAAAAGGAAACAAGCACATGTAATAAACATGAAAAAGTAAGATGGACTCTCAAGGGCCTGTGAGTCAATATACCTTAGAAAAATAGCAGCTGGGCCAGGCATGGTGGCTCACGTTTGTAATCCTAGCCCTTTGGGAGGCTGAGACAGGTAGATTGCTTGAGCTCATGAGTTCAAGACCAGGCTGAGCAAGAGCAAGACCTCATCTCTACTAAAAATAGAAAAACTAGCCAGGCGTTGTAGCAGGCACCTATAATCCCAGTTACTTGGGAGGCTGAGGCAAGAGGATCTCTTAAGCCAAGAGTTTGAGATTGCTGTGAGCTATGACACCACGGCACTCTACCCCAGGGGGACAGAGTCAGACTCTGTCTTAAAAAAAAAAAAAAAAAGAGGAAAAACAGTAGGTGACCCTGTGCTGGGAAAACTCAATACTGGGGCCAACGTCCTGCTAGTTGGTGTGTCTAGGAGGAAACTGAGACAGCTCTCTGCCTTCAACATTTCCATTGTAGGCTATCCCCTGGCTGTGTGGACGCTGGGGCTGAGCCAGGCCGGAGTCGAATGATCAGCCAGGAAGAGTTTGCCAGGCAGCTACAGCTCTCTGATCCTCAAACAGTGGCTGGTGCCTTTAGCTACTTCCAGCAGGTAAAGGAGCTGGAACACAGGTCAGAACCCAGGCTTGCCTTCTAGGCTGACATGCTCAGGACTTAAGGACCATATCCTAGTATCCATATCACTGACATTGGGTGGTCAGTTTGGAGTCTGCGTAGGCGCTCTTAATAGCTCTTGTCAGATGGCATCTGAGATTCATAGGAGGATTCATCTTTTTGTCAAGTATCCAGTGCATTGAAGAGCAATGTTTTAATCCTTGTGAGGAAAAACAAGCAAGAAACAATGAATCAGGCTCGGTGCCTGTGGCTCAAACGACTAAGGCTCCAGCCACATACTCCTGAGCTGGCGGGTTCGAATCCAGCCCAGGCCCTCCAAACAACAATGACGGTTGCAACCAAAAAATAGCCGGGTGTTGTGGCGGGCGCCTGTAGTCCCAGCTACTTGGGAGGTAGAGGCAGGAGACTCGCTTGAGCCCAGGAGTTGGAGGTTGCTGTGAGCTGTGATGCCATAGCACTCTACCCAGGGTAACAGCTTGAGGCTCTGTCTCAAAAAAAAAAAGAAAAAGAAACAATGAATCAGTTAAGTCTATACATTTCTGAAGCCACTGAAGAGATTGGCAAAAATGGGAAATCATAAGACCTTGAGGGGCACTGGGGGAAGGTCTCAGAAGCAGAGTCATGAAGGTTAGGGGGAGAAGATGACATGAAGAAAAAAACACTGGGCAGGTTAGACAGTTGAGAGTTTGAGACCCAGAAGTATTTTTAATACTTGGGCAGACTATTTTAAATATCCTTGTGGCTTCTGTGAAGATTCCTGAGCTTCTTAAAGCATCTTGGCAAACCATGTATTTCCTGGGATTTAACCAAGTTTCCTTGTCAAATTATAATCTAGAAGATTCTTGTGTTTGTAAATAACTAGCAGTGGTTCCAAGGAGCATTTTTTGATCTGAGATGCAGACTGTGCCTCTCAAAAGCCTCTGAAGGGACAGGAAGTGACCATGTGCATAGACTCTGTAGACTGAGGCAGGCTATCCCCAAAAAGAGCATTCCCCCATTAGCTTGTAGCAGAGCAGAAACAAAAATCCAAATCCATGGTCTTCCATAGCGCTGTTGCTGCAGGCATCCTCCTGGGCCTTTCTGTAAGAAATTATGCCAGTGGCCCCCCCTTTAATCTGTTGGACTAGTTCTGCCACATAGGCTGAGTCAGCGGAGGGAACCAGTCTGTCCAGGTTGGGGGCCTGGAATGCCCTCCTTTGACATGTCAGAAACTTGATGGTAATTTCATTCCTAAGGTATTCCCAAACATTCCTAGGAAGTCCCTTTATGGGAAGTCTTTGTCACCAGGTGACTTGGTATAGTTTGAGAAACCCTATGACTTGAGAGAAATTCCAAAGGCTCCTAGAGAGTTTGGGGCTCACAATTCTGAGGGAGGCAGTCACAGGGATTATCCTCATGCCTGCTTTGAAGAGGGGAGAGGCAAAACCCTTAGAGCAGAAGAGAAGATGCAAGGTCCCCACACTGCCCTGGTTTCTTCACTTTCCAGGATGCCGAGGGTATGGTGGACTTCCGAGATGTAGCCCTTGCACTAGCAGCTCTGGATGGGGGCAGGAGCCTCAAGGAGCTGACTCGCCTGGCCTTTGAGGTACTGTGGGGTAGGGGGCATCTGGTGATTTTGTTCACCTCACATCAGGTTTGTGGGGTGTGCTATTTCAGCATCTTCTAGATAGTAGGTGCTTAGTATCTAACCCCTTGACACACTGTCTAAAGCTGAAGATTTGGAATATCTCTTGGGACCTAGCTGGGAACAGGAAGAGGGCAAAAGCTATAAAGTCTACAGTTTTCCTGCAGAAAAGACCCTGAGGGTCAGGAAAGACCTGTGCACAGCACTTGTGGAAGAGGAAGAGCTTATCAAGCCAACCTGCAAGGCAGTGTGAGGCATTGGCATGAGAAGAGAACTTGACTATCATCCCTTTCTCTCCCAAGCTGTTTGCTGAAGAGCACACAGAGGGGCCCGGCCGCCTGCTGTACAAAGACGGCTTCAGCACCATCCTGCACCTGCTGCTGGGTTCTCCCCACCCGGCTGCCACCACTTTGCATGCTGAGCTATGCCAGGCCGGACCCAGCCAAGGCCTCTCCCTCTGTGAGTCACTGTCTTCTCAGCCCCGCATAGGCACTCAGGGCAGTAGGCTGGGAGGAGCAGGCTGGACAGGGAGAGAGGATGTAAAACTGGACTTGGGAAGTTAATAGATTAGAGGGCCAGGGTAGATCATTTCTGAGAAAAGAACGGGAGCATTTTCTTCCCCTCATTCTTTGGTCTTTTCATTCTTTTCCATTTTATTCTTCTTTGTCCAGGTCAGTTCCAGAACTTCTCCCTCCATGACCCACTCTATGGGAAGCTCTTCAGCACCTACCTGCGCCCCCCACACACCTCCCAGATACCAAATGCCTCATCCCAAGGCAGCCCCACTTCCCTGGCCAACGGGACTGGGCAAGCGCCCAAGCAGAAGGGCGACTGAGCACCTCCACCCCATCTCTGCTCCTGTTTGACTTTTGTTATCATTATCTGTTTTGTTAAGTTGATTTTAATTTTTTGTTTGGTTGTGTTTTTTGTAAGAAACTATTTTATATATAAATATAAATCTATATCTATATCTATTAAAAAAAATGAAGCTCAGTCACATTGATGGTATCATTAGATGGGAAGCAAAGGGGTGAATGGTTGTAGGACGCCCATTGGGAGATGCCGAAGGGTCAGCCTTGAAGGGCTGGGTCACTCCTCTTGGCCATAGCTGAATGAATCCTCACCCAGAGGGCAGGGCTCTTTCCTGCGCAGAAATCACACAGATTTCAAATCCTCCCCTAGTACTGTCATCCCTTGTATGTGCACATTTCAGCAGACTCCTTCACAAACCTCTTTTAAGCCCATTCCCTCTTGTTCTGTCCTCATGCAAGATTAAAAAATAGCTTACTACCATTCCCTATTTAATAATTCTTTTTTTTTTAGAGACAGAGTCTCACTTTATCACCCTGGGTAGAGTGCTGTGGCAGCGTCACACAGCTCACAGCAGCCTCCAACTCCTGGGCCCAGGCGACCCTCCTGCCTCAGCCTCCCGAGTAGCTGGGACCATAGGTGCTCGCCATAATGCCTGGCTATTTTTTTGTTGTGGTTTGGCCAGGGCCGAGCTTGAACCTGCCAACCTCAGTATATGGGGCCAGCACCCTACTCACTGAACCACAGGCGCCGCCCCCTATTTAATAATTCTACAGAGACTTCTTCCTTGCAAAGAGACTTCTTCCTTGCAAGTCAGACTACCCATATAGGAGGGTCTATCTGCCTTGGGATGAGCTGGGAATACTTCAGGTCTTTTTGTCCAGCCTCTTTTCAAGGAAGAGAAAACAAGGCCCCATAAAAGTGCTGTGTCTAGACATAATTATGGAAAATTAATTAGATTTAGAAAGTTAGATCCTTCTTTCAGATGTGACAGGTAAAAGCATCTTTCCATCTGTAGACTTAAAGGGAGGCAAATAATTATAGGATGTCCAGGCAAGCCCTCCCAACACCAAGCCCAGGCTTGTGATGAAGGATGAACAGTGATCATTGGAGACTTCTCTGCGTCCAACTGGGGAATTATCACTACCTGAAAGCCAGTCTGTTGCCAAGAGGAGGTTGCAGGGAGTGAAGATACGGCTATAAGGTAAGGTATCTGGATTTGTAGAACCCCTACTTCCTTTCTTTATAGTACCTTACAATCTTGCAGGAAAGACGCTGAGTACCAAAAAAAGGCACATTGAAAGCACTGTCCAACGAAAACAATCTTTATTCAGTTTTTTCCCATATAACTCCCTCCAAAGGTACATCCCCCGCATTTCCCACTAAGGGAACAACCCACATCCTAGCCAGTCTGACCTCCCTCTCCAAAAATACCACCTTTGCAGAACAACAAAACAACATTGGGTTGAGGCTGACTCTCCATTGGTGAGCACCAGGGGTGAAATCTGCTTTGGGGCACCCACTTTTGGGGACTCTCAAGTAGGGTCAGATGATCCTGTCCCTACTGGCTACGACGTCGTTTCTTCCTTCTGCCTGTGACAAAACTGTCACGCCGCCTTTTACGAGGCTGTGAGGGCCGAACCACTCCCAGAGCCAGGGTTTTCTCCCCAGAGACCCCGAGTTGAACTCCTGAGTGGGATTTCTTTTCAGCAGGGGCCAGACCTTTAGCTAGAACTCGCTTCCCAGACTTGACAACAGGATATGGAGGTTGGCTGAGGCCTCTTGCCTCAGGACAGAGGAGGTGGGTACCGAGAGGAAGCTGCTTTGGGGACAGGCTAAGTTTAGATGCCAAGAGGTAGGCAAAGTTGGAGAGTTCCTCATCTTCCTCGTCCTCTTCCTCCTGCTTCTCCTCTTCCTTGGCCCCATCTGCTGAGCTACATATCTCACTAACAGGAGGGTTTTCTCTCAGAACTAAGGCATCCTTGGTTTCCTGTGTAGGGAAAGTGCTCCCCTGGTCCTGGTGAGAAGATATTGTTTTGGGGGTTTCAAGTGCATAAGACTCTTGACGCCCATCTAAAGGAACATTATCTTTAGGCTTGGAAAGATCAGCATCCTCCCTGCCCTCTCCTTGAAGGTCATAAGAATTAAAATTTGGCAGGCAAGTATCCTCGCTGACCCCTAGCTGGAGTCCACGATCATCTCTAACATCTAGTGTGCTGCTGTGTTCTGTTGCCACCAGAGGAGAAAAGGAGGTGCCCCTGCTCTCTGCCTCTTGGCTAGCCTCAGGGAAGGGAGAACCATCCTGGGTCCCCAGGATAAGGAGATCACCTTGGACAAGAGGCAGGAGGGTTTCTTTAGAAGATCCCAGTGTGGAGGCCCCAGTTCTACTTTCCAGCAATGGGGAGCAACCTTTAGCCCACAGATCACTGGGATCCCGTAAGGTCTCAGGACTTTGTTCTCTGTTTTCTTTAGGGCTCAGGTCTGGGCTGTTTGCCCTTTGAGGACCTGGCAAGGTGCAGTAGTTTCTCTTTTCTAGGGCAGCTATGGCATCTGTGCTTCCATAGGAATTCACGCTGCTCTCCTCATCCCCAGGGGCTATGGTTTCTCCAGGACCTGGAGTAATGTTATTTCTGGAACCCAGTGCCTGGCAGCCTCCCTCGGGCTCAGTTACACGTTTCCCATCTTGGAAACTCTCTAGGACCTCTTCAATCTGTATTGGCAATTCCAAGTTTACACCATCCATCTCACTGCTCAGCCAAAGTTCTGGGCTGAGAGAGGAGCCATCCCTGTCCCCAGCTGCTCTAGGGGAAGGGTTCTGATTGTAACTTGGAGCCATGGGAAGACCATTGCCATCTCCCCATGCTGCTCCTGAACCGTCTTCCTGGGGCACTGCTAAAGGCTCCTGCCCTTGAGGAAGCACTCCAAGACCCCCCATCTTTTGTCCTGTTGGCAGCCCCAGGACCTGACTTTCTAGCCCCTGTCCTTGCAGTCCAGCTGGCTCTGCAAGTCCAGCATCCAAGCTGGGAGTTCTCTCACACTGAGAGTCTTCCTGCCAGGAAAGGGGCAGAGCATCCGAAGTTCCATCAACTCCCAGGCACAGCCCAGGGGACCCAGCACCTCCCAGGTGACTATCCTGATATGAAGATATCTGGTTTATAACCTTCCCAGACCCTCTTCTCTCCATACCCAAGGGTCCCTGAGTTCCCTGAGGAGTTGCACGGTCTAGTGGCAGGTCCCAGCTCCTGGGGGGTGGCAAAGTGTTCCCATCTGTGCGCAACCCCCTCGGGCCATCTAGGGCTCGCTCCCGCCCACTGTGCACTTCTCTTGCCCGTTTTCCCAGAGAAGAAGCCTTTCCCAGGCGAACAGTGCCCCCAGGCCCCCGAGGCCCAGGCAAGGGCCGAAGCCGCCCACCCCCATCTTCGTCCTCATCAGAAACAGAAGGACTTGAGTCGGATTGAGCTCCACTGCAACTTGGAGGTGCCTCCGCATCCTCCTCCTCTTCCAAGGCCAGGAGTCGCTTCTGGACTAGCTGGAAGAGAAGGATAAATACCAGTTCTATACATGGTTGTGAGAAGAGGGGCTGACTGGGTGGAAGGAGACGGTATTTGGGCAAGGCAGGGAAAGCAAGCAAGAGGTTTAAATGACAGTATAAAAAACACTGTAGCTCTCTCCTGCCTTCTCTTGCCTTATTCCTATGCTTTGGGCCTTTACACTTTCATTCTTGTTTCCATAGCCCCTTACCTACTGGTTCAGCACATGAGGCCCAATCCTAAAGCTGTTTATTTCTAGAGCCATGTCATCCATGACAGTGTAGATTTAGATAAAATCATGCGAGCTTCTTATTTCGATATTCCCTCCATCCTAGGCTTACTTGGGCAAGAGTAAGTCCTTCTTCTTGTTCCAGCTCTTCAATTAAGGCCAAGGGATCCCTCTGTTGTTCTGGGGACAGCAGATCTGCCAGAAATTGAGGGTGAATGACGGCCTCCACCTGGGGAACAGAAGAAAAAGTGACATGAGTCCTCGATGGAAGGTAGCCTATGAAACAAGCCACCACAGAGAAGTAGCCATGAGCCCTCCCAACTACACATTCAGCCCACATGAATTTGTTTGTTATAAACCACAAACACCAAACTGTACACACGCACATGTGTGTGCACATCCATTACACATAGCTTCCCCCGGGAGCCCACCCCATATCTACTAGAAACCAGACATGTAGGCCCAGCCTACCTTGGAGACAAAGATCTCCTGAGAACACAGGTCTTCGATGTAGCTTAGGAGACCTGAGTCTGGGTACATTCCTTCCTCCTCCTGCTGCTGCTCTTCTTCCTCTTCCTGCTTTCCTTCTGGCTCCCCAGTGGCCGAGTGACTCCCCACCAGCCCTTCCATGATGTCAGCATACTCCTTCACAGCTTCTGGTGGGATCTCCTTGGGGGCCTCAGGAACTGGAGGCCTCTGGGGTTTGCGCTGACGCCTGCGGGGAGCCCGTGCCTTGGAGGCTGCCTTCTTTGGAATGTACACTAAGGGAAGAGATGGAGGGGCATGGGCAGTGGCACCACAACTATGGTTTCTACCTCCCAACTCTGCTTATAAGGGCAGCAACCTGGGTACACAGAAATGGTTCCAGGGTGGATCAAGCCAACCTGAAAGAGTACTCATCATTTGGAGATTTAGGAGCTGGAGTGTCTAAGAGAAATTCACTATAGGAGGAATCTTAGAACCCTGAAAATTCTAAGAAACTCCCTGGTCTGGACCTCATTTCTAAGAGAGATGAGGTATTCTGTGCCTCACTGACAGTCTTGGTGAGAGTTTACTAGTCCAAGATCAATACCTCTTTCAGGACAAAGGGAACCTGAAAACCCAGCCTCTTGTGAGGTGGTCTGTTTAGAACATCACAGGCCACTCTCTGGAGGGAAGGCGGCAGAACCAAGGGCGATGCCATTCCTAATCTGGGGCTGGTTTCTGTGCACCTCCCTTTGAGCCTTTGGCCCACAGCTCCTGTTGGAATTGGTTAGCCTTACCTGACTGCTGGCAAACCTCAGGGGTCAGGGGCCCTGGAGGATCAAGTTTCAAAGAGGCTGCAGGAGACAGGCCCTGAGACCCATTGGTTAGCTGTGAATTCTGAAGCTGCATCTCCTCCTCAGCCTCAAACTCCATGAACCTGCAGAGGGTGAGGAAGGCACAGGCAGTGCTGAGGGGACCAGGACTGCCAGGACCCCAGGCTGCAGAAAAGCATGGCTAAGAAATGAAGTGCTCTCAGTTGGCCACAACCTGCACAAGTCATGTCACCTAGAAGGGAGCTGCTCACAGGGAGCCTAATAACAGTTCCTGGGAAACCTGGAGAGTTCACCACATGGTCCCTCTAGTCATCACTTAGGAAGACTTAAGAAAAGAATGACCTAGAGCTTGTAAACTCTTCCAGGACAGAGCCCTGGCTTTTACCTCTTTCCCATGCCTGTCTCTCCCAACTTCACAGATTGTATACAGCAGCACTTAATACAGGTTTGTGGAATTCAGTCAAGCCTGAGCAACCACCTTGTGGGAGCTCACAAGTGGGCCCCTGGAGGCCTCATCTGCCCTGCCTAAACCATAAAGTGAGTTCCTGAAGCAGCCCTGGCTCGTAGGCAGTGCTGAGAGATCCAGTCCGGAGGCTGGGCCTGGTGCCTTGGAAAGGTAAATCTAGGAGGCAGGGCCTAGAAGATTTTGGAGGAGAAAGTAGAAGCTAAACTTGGGAGAGGGTGTTCATTTTCCTCAGAGTTGTTTGGGGTTTTTTTTGCGGTGTTTGGCTGGGGCTGGGTTTGAACCTGCCACCTCTGGTATATGGGGCCAATGCCTTATTCCTCTGAGCCACGGGTGCCACCCCAGAGTTTTGTTTTATTTTTCCATCATCATAGAAAAATAGTAAAAGAGCCAGGAGATCACTCTGGACATCTTAGGACCTTGGCTTCCTCCTGGTTCTTCCAGAACCAGTCCCATTCTCAGATAAGAAAGGATTTTCTGTGCACCGTTTCCAAAGGAGGAGGGGTAATCCTAAAATTCTGCCACAATAGCCACTTGTTACCTGGTCAGTGAGAAAATGACCTGCCTAGTAGAGCTTTCTCTTCTTTTGCTACATCCCTTCGGCAAGGGATTTCTACACCTACTGGGCTCCAATACCCTCCTAAGACCTACAATATCAAGGCCCCTATCATAGATTGAAGATCTGGAGAGGAAGGAGCTTCCAAGAGGAAACAAGATAGAAAAACTCACAAGTCAAGGTGGTGGAAGCAGCAGAAAGGATCCAGGAGACCCCATCCTAGTCTACACCCCTTCTCCTAAATTCCTTTTAGTAATCCCTCACTCATCCAGACAGAAGCTTATATCTTTTTTTTTTTTTTTTTTTTTGAGACAGAGCCTCAAGCTGTCCCCCTGGGTAGAGTGCCATGGCATTACAGCTCACAGCAACCTCCAACTCCTGGGCTCAAGCGAGTCTCCTGCCTCCGCCTCCCAAGTGGGACCACAGGTGCCCGCCACAACGCCCGGCTATTTTTTGGTTGCAGCCGTCATTGCTGTTTGGCAGGTCCGGGCTGGATTCGAACCCGCCACCTTAGGTGTATGTGGCTGGCGCCTTAGCCGGTTGAGCTATAGGCGCCGAGCCCAGACAGAAGCTTATAATACAGCTTGTGTCACTGCCCCCACAGCTCTCAGCCATACATCCCCTCTCGGGAGCAGGAATGTCCATCAGACTCACTTTTCTGCCATCTCATAAAAGATCATCCGGTCAAAGTTGCTGGTTCGCTCCCACTCCTGCACAGCCCTCGGCAGTCCCTCCTCCAGGGTCATGGTAGGCTTCAGTCGGGCCAGGGAACGAAGCACTGGGCTAAAACCCACATTGTGTCAGTTACATTCTAAAAGTGTGGCCCCCCCACCTGTTCTGACACCCACCTGAATTCGACCCCTGCCCCTCATCACTTGTAATGTGCCCCTCAGTCTCTGTCATGTCCCCTTCTGATTAGACTTCCAGAATCAACCTCCCCCCATCCATTCATTTACCACACTTGCCTGTCTTCTCACTGACAGTTGCAAATCTCGCACAAAATCAGATAATTCTCCCCACCTTTTGAAATCAAGGGCTGCAACCACCCCTAATTCTCACAGTGCTATCCTCAGCCAAACATTAGGATAACACTCGTGTTATTAAATGAATGGGATTCACTATAAGGTAGACTTACCCCTGCCCAGAGGCTCTTGCATTTAATCTCTAATTGAAGGTGGTGTGGTGTTTTCATTTATTGTTTTTTTGGTGTCTTTGTTTCCAGGATACCCTCACAGTCCAACACCAATACTAGACCCCCCCAATACATATTTCTAGAAGGCCCCTGAGCCCTTTTTAATCCAGAAGAAATAATGAACCTGGCCTAAAGTAAGGGCTTTGTTTTTTTTCCCTGAGTCCTAAAACTTTATTGTGCATGAGAATCACCTGGGGAAGGTCGCTATAAATATTAATTGCATCACCCTAGCATCCCTGGGATTGCTCATTTTACCACCTTCCCTGTTATAGAGGTCTGCACTGCTGTGTTGGCCTTCTAAGTCCTTTGCTCTTTTAGACTGCCTTTTTTTTTTTTTTTTTTTT